TTTCGTCTGATAACTCCTCAGTCTATCTCTCAAGCCCAGATTTTTCTCACTTCCAAACCTGCACATCCACTTGAGTACATGACCCCATTCCTTGGCTGCCATACACGCAGCTTTGACGTTTCACTTAAAATTTTCCTTCTGTCCCCACCCTCATTTATTCTACACCAGCATCTTAGTATTGTATACTTGGGTAGTAAGCAACAGGAGTCCACAGGGTTCCATCACTTCTCTCCCTTTTTATATCTAATTTATAGGCTAGTAATGCACTGCAACTTCTATCTCCAAGATCTTATTTTGAATTTGCCTTCTCTTCTTCTGTATCACCACTGCCTTAGGCCAGGTCACCTCTGCCCTCTTGCCAGATTAGGCCACAACCTCTTAACTATTATCATTATTAGTCTCTTCTATCCAATCTTACATAGCAGCAAAACTGATCTTCTCAAACTGTCAGACAGATAAGGACATTTCCATGCTTAAACACCTCCTGGACTTCCCTTGCGGTTAGAATGACCTTCAACCTCCTTATCACGGCTTAGAATGTACTGAATTACAGAAAGGACTGAATATACTGTATTCCTATCTTTGCCATTTTCTTTTTAAGCCAGTCTTTCCCCCTTCACATATTATACTCATACTAGCATTTCTTTACTTTTTGGAATACATTAGGGCCTTTGCACCTGTTCCCCTTCCTTTGATCTAGAATGCTTTTCCCTTTCTTTTTATGTAGCTAGGTGCTTCTTTCCATTTAGGTATCATATGAAATGCAACCACCTCCTCCTTTTCACTACCTCACAAAAAGTTGACACCCATGCTAAAACATTAACAGAATTCTACTCAACAATGAAAAAAGGCAAAAGCTATTGATAAAAGCAACAATACGGATCAATCTCAAAAACATCATGCTGAGCAAAAAGGCACAGACACAAATGAGAGTGTTTATATGACCTTAACTGCAAAACTCACCTGTGGTAATATAATTTAAAAAGTGATTGTCTCTGGGAGAGGGTTACAGTTGACTGGACAGAAGGAAAGGGAACTGTTTTGGTTAATATTAATAGAAATGTTGTATATTATGTTGGAATGGTGATTACATGGGTATATTCAATTGTCAAAACTCATCAATCTGAACTCTTAGCCTTATCCATTTTATTGTATGTAAATTATGCCTCAATTGAAAAAAAGAACAATATGTTTATTCTCCAGATTATATCAATACTTGAAGTTCTTTGAAAGATATGATTCAAATGAGCTTAATTCTGTATATATCATTGACATATGATAATTTTGTATGTAGTTGAGATCATTTTAGATAATTGAAAATTATACTTACAATAAAACTTTATTTACTTATAATGGTTGCATAGTATAAAGTTTATCTCCACTGATCTTTAAAGCTTTGGAGATTCCAACCTCCTCACAGCTCTGGGAGGAGGCAGTGTGGCATGTTGAAGCAAGCATGTGTTTTAGAGTAAGAAAGGCCTTGTATAGAATCCCATGTCTACCAATTATCAGTAGTGTGAGCATGTTGCTAGATCTCAATAATCTTCAACTGTAAAATGGAAATAACATATGGCTTATAAAACAAAGGTATTTACATGATAGAATATAATCCCTAGGATTTAGGGACCTCCCTAAATCCCAACCACAGATGCCAGGTTAAAAGCCTCATCATAGACTAGAATAAATTCAGATATCAAAATGAAAGCATATTTGTCAAAGGGCCTGTTGTGGTTGACCATCACGCAGTAGGCACTCTCAAAAACCTTTTGTCTCCTTCCTTCCCTCTTTTCTTTTTGAAGCATTCTGTATGTGAATAAAAGAAAAAGAAATAAAAATGGTTATTTGTTTTCTGGCACTTGGGATTGATGTATTGAGGACATGTTAGCAGAACAGCAAAGGTGAAACACTAAAAGCACCATCAATACACAGGCAGCAGTCAAGCCATATAGCTTTTATTTTAAAATTAGTGCACAAAATATAAGGGGAGTGTTAGAAAAAACTTGGGTCTATGAAAGGATACATAAAATATATTCATAAAATTATGTCGACAGATTTTTAGAATGTTTGAAAATATTGTTTTAATTTAGTATATTAGGTTTTTATTGTTTGAATGTGTGTGTGTGTTTAATTAAGAAAAAAATAAAATTAACAGTAGCAGTGATTTTACTTTGTGGACTCATACTAATGGTTCAAATCTATCTCTATTCCCAGAACAGCCTAGAGCATGCATCTTGGAAGATAGTTGATTAATAAGAAAAAGAGAATTTATCTACAGTGATTAAAACCATTATGGTCCACATGTATTAGTAAATATTCCAAAATAGCCATGCCAGTTAACACACATCCAGAGTTTAAAGGCCACTTGACAACAAAAGTAAAAGAAATATAGCAATCCTTGCTTTATATCACTATAATCCTTGTATATTTTTAAGTGGAGATTAACATTTGAGGATATTCCATATGTTTAGAGGTAGGTACATGTCTCTTAAATTTAGTACCATTTACTCAAATTGCTGGCTGTAGCAAGTCCTTATGGGTAGGAGTGCAGTTTGTGTTGAGTTGGGGGGTCCGTGTATATTCTGTGGTCTGTGGTATTTTCACAATACTGTAATATGTGGTTAGCCCTCCTTTTTCCTTTCATACTGATAATTTCAAGAGCCATCAATCAAGCCTTCTCCCTTTAACTAGATGTATATTTTTTTCTGGATCTTCACACCAAATTTCCTGCCTAGCCTGATGTAAGGAAGCATGGTGTCAGAAGGAATTATGAATTAAGATCATGCACAACTTGCTTTGAGTCTTGGGTATTATACCTACCTAATAGAGTGAGGGAACCAGGAATTCTCTTTGAGGCTTAGACGCTACATCCGTGTTAAGAACACTTCTGTTAATATGATTTTGCTTCCTAATCTTTAAAGTGAAGATAAATATTCAGGCCATCATGAGGATTATATGAGAGAATACTTTAAAGCCAGGCCCCCTATTATATGTGCTTATAGTTTCAGGTAAGATTTGTCATATTTGTAACCTCACTTTTAACTGTAATGTTTTGATCCATGCCTTTCTTACCTAGTACAGTC